AGGCTTTGGTATCAGGATGATGTTGGCCTCATAAAATGAGTTAGGGAGGATTCCCTCTTTTTCTATTGATTGGAATAGTTTCAGAAGGAATGGTATCAGCTCTTCCTTGTACCTCTGGTAGAATTCAGCTGTGTATCCATCTGGTCCTGGACTGGTTTTGGTTGGTAGGCTATTTATTATTGCCTCAATTTCAGAGCCTGCTATTGGTCTATTCAGGCTTCTTCTTCCTGGTTTAGTCTTGGGAGAGTGTAAGTGTCCAGGAAATTATCCATTTCTTCTAGATTTTCTAGTTTATTTGTGTAGAGGTGTTTATAGTATTCTCTGATGGTAGTTTGTATTTCTGTGTGGTCAGTGGTGATATCCCCTTTATCATTTTTTGTTGCATCTATTAGATTCTTCTCTCTTTTCTTCTTTATTAGTCTTGCTAGCAATCTATTTTCAATGGCTATGTCTTCATCTACTGTAAAGTATTTATCCACGCCCGCTCCCCCACCACTTGTACCTTCAACTTGTTTCCAGGGTTATAATTACTATATTATTCCAGTTTATAATCCCAACGGCAATAACAGAGAATGTGTAACCTTGACAATTCTAGGTACTATTTTTTGAAGAATTTATATACAGTAGGTTTAATTTTTTTCCAGTTCTTTGATTTATGTAATTAAACTTATTTTTTCCCTATTGACCATTTGTATTCCTTCTTTTATACATTAACTGTTTATCTCTTTGGCTTAATTTAAAGTTATTCACCATTTTACTTATTAAGTTACAAGTATTCTTTATATTTTAAGGATATTAACCATTTATATGTTATATGTAAGAAATATATTTTGAGTTTATCATTTACTTTTAAAATGTATTAATGATTTTTCTGTCATCCAGACAAATTTTGATTTTTATTATCACATCTATGGATCTTAATCTTTATTATTTTTTCTTCATTTTTAAGTGATGGGAGATCCTACTATCCAAACTATATAAATATTATATAAATTTTCACCTATTTTTCAAGAATTGTTATGGTTTTATTTTTTATATTTCATTTTTATTTCATCTAAGATTTCTCTTACTTTTCAGTACAGAGATCCTTTTTATTTTCTGAAATAATCACCCATTGACCCAAGCAGTACTTATAGAATATCATCCTGTCTTCTATGCTATACTTCTCTAATCTATAAATATTTATAGATACTCATTCATGTTTTATTGTGTTTGTAGAACTTTCAGAACAATGCTAAACAATAGTGGCAAACATGGGGTATAAGTGTCTGGGTCCTGGTTTTATTGGGAAAATCTCTTGTGTTTTCTTATTAAGTGTGTGGATAGATTTTCTTACACAGAACCTTTTTGGGGTTTTTGTTTGTTTTCAGGTACACTAATAACAATCCAAGGCAGAATCTTCACTGACGTCTATGGAAGTAATATTGCACTAAGCTCAAATGGGAAAAATGTTAGGATTTTGAGGTAATCTTGATTTGGAAATATACTCTTATAAATGAGATATAATATTCCAGAAATAATGGGCCAATGATATTAAATCCTATTACAATGTGGTAGAACTAACCAGTGTGTTTTCAGCCATATTATAGAAAGTAAAACAGACTGTTGGAAGATTCATTGACAAGGAAGCAATGGTCGATATGTCTTTCTTTATTGGTCTGATGTAATTTCTTATTGTTTTGTGATGGATTTATTAATAGAAGAAACACACAGACAAGTCCAACGTTATTGAATTATAGTCATACAAATTTATTACTAGAGGCCTTTATTACTTAATCTAACTGCCTCATTTTGTGCATAAAAACACCTGAGGCCTAGAGGTCACATAGCTTAGTCAGGGTCAAGAGTAGAACACAAGTCTCGTAACACAGTATTTGACACTTTTTCTACTACTTCATGATGTACAGGCAAGTGCTGAAACCAAATATTGTTAATAACTCATTAACAGGCCAAGCTTTGAATCCTGTTTTTTCCATTTGCCAACTGTGAACTAGACAGTAACTTTGGCTAGTTAGCTAATGTCAAAAAAAAAAATTGTCCACATTTTGGACTGAAAACTAGCATTGTCACTAGAGTTGCTTCCTGTAGCATAGATGGTATTATTTCCATCCTGCCTTTAAAGACTGAAAGCCCTATTTATTTCCTATAGAAAAAAAGTATAGACTCACAATTATGGCTTTCAAGATTTTATGTTTATCGAATTCACGCATAAAACAGGTAAACGGATAAGTTAATTCAGATAGCAACTCAACAATTAGAGAATTTTTTGAATGCTATAAAGGTGAGGTATATACACACACACACACACAAATATATAATTTTGTAAAACAAGTAATTTAAAAGATTTTAATAAGTGAAATAAAGATTTATCTGGCATTGTATAGAACAGAACCTTTAATTAAATCACATTTGTATGCATCTATAATTTCTGAAAATGTTCATACTAATTCCTTATATGTAATAAAAGAATTTCCAAGTAGAGATATTTAACATTTTATATATACTGATTAGTAGAAGTAAAAATTTTGTCTGCTTCTCATAGCTGAGTGTTATGAATGGTTTTTATTCTAATTCTTAGACAGGGTTTTCTAAGTCATCCTTTCCCATAGTAAGGCCAGGAAATAGAAAGTTTAACTTTCAAAAAGAGTTTCCTTTTTTCCTCCGCTGAAACTGGAATTTATTTCTGCTTAATATAAGGGTTTGGATGGAAATTATTCCATGAAATCACAGAATTGCAGTGAGAGGGGACCTTAGAGGTCAGGCTATCTAATCCTTATACTCTGGAAATCCTGAGCTATTATATGTAAATTCAGATTTTTTTTTCACACATCTATTAATGTGTGGGCAAGAAAGTCTTGGAGCTGAATTTATCTCATTTCTACCATGTTAATTATGATACCAGGGCTCCCGAGGCAATTTATTATGCCTGGATTCTGTTAGTAGGGAGGGAGTTGAGAGCAATAGGCTGTGTTCTGGGCAGGAATTCAGGAGACCTGCTTCTCACAAATCTTGTTCATTCAACTAAATCTCCAAATTCAGACCAGGTAGAAATTATAGAGGACATGCAAATGGAAAGAGGGATTAGTGCTTACTAAGGAGCTTTTGTTCTAAAAAATCAGGTAAAAAGAATTCTAAAAAATATGTATTTAAGACCAAATAGGGTGGTTTTCCCCTAGGTACACGTACCCAGACCACTGTGTGGATTACCAACTGTGGTTAAAAACACTGACTGCAGCCAAACTGAGTTTGAATCCCTGCTCTACCCCTCATTGTCTGCAGGCTTGGGCAAGCTGCTTAAGCTTTCTGTTTCAGTTTTTTCATGTGCAAAATTGAAGGATAATAGTAACTAACTCATAAGATGTTTGTAAGGATTAAACGTCGTAGGAACCTATTCCAAGTGTTAGCTGCTAAATTTATTATTTAGCTAGAATGAGGCAGGAGATTAGAAGGAGAATTTAAATCCATGAATATGTGTAATGGGTACAACAATTCAGTTTACCTGCTTATACAATCCTAATGTAATGATCAAATGAATGGACTTATGCATAAAAGTATATTAAAAAATTCAAAATTTTCTGCAAACAAAAGTCCTTATTTTTTATAGTTCAAGTTTGTATCTGGCCTTATTTTGAGTCTGGGATTTGCTGTCACAAAAGCTGATGGTTTATTCTGGTGTTGCAAAGAATCCAATATCAGTCAGTCACCTGCCAGCCTCCAACAGCATCAGGTACTATCAGCTCCAAAGTAATAGGTCAGACCCGATCACCTGGGGAAATACAGAGGCAGATGCTTTCCCTGCAGCTGAACTCTGGCTCTGCTCAGCTTCTTATTTTCATTCATGTGTCACTGATGCTGTTACACATCCTCTTTCTCCTGTTAACTTTGTGATGGCTGTGCTGTTTACCTTAATTCCTATAGTATAAAACCTACTACAAAATTCTTTTTATTTGAGATGATTTAACTTCAGATGGATGAGTTTATTATCTGTTTCTATGTTGTCTTTTCTTGTAGTACTTAACACCTCTAACACATTAAATATGTTATGATTATAATGTTTTATTCGTCTTTCCCAGTTAAAATGTCAGTTCCACGAGGGCAACAAAGGGATCTTTGTTTCGTTCACTGATGTGTCCCAGTACCTACAGCAGGGACTGCCACATAATAGAGGCTCAGTAGATGTTTTATTGAGTGAATGAGTGGTAGATAATAATAAGTGATTGAGAAAAAAAAATTAAGGGAGTCAGTGAGGTTGATGGGAGGAGCGCATTTTTGAAACAATTTGTTAAACATAACTTGATCTTTTCTAATAAAAATATTTGTACAGAGTTTACATTGGAGGAATGCCCTGTGAACTTCTCATACCACAATCTGATAATTTGTAAGTATTTCAAATTATTTTCTTTATAAAAACAAATAGCAGATATAAGCAAACTGAATTTAAATAGTAATAGCTACCAATACTGCATAGCTAAATGCTTTATAATACAGTATAAATTATAATATCCCAAAACAAATTAGCAATCATTTTTACAGTTAGGTGTGCTACCTTATATCCTACTCAGTCTCCAAGATAGTATAATATGAACTATTTAGATTTTTATGAGAAAAGATGTTTTGAGCAATATCTTTATCAAGGAATTATTTCATTTGGCAGTATCTCAAACTCTTTTAAAGGAATATTAAAGGGCATAGCCAAAATTATAAAATATTTTTTGTTATATAAAATTTTATTCAAACATCTCCAATGAAGTCTAGGAAATGATTTTATTTTACAGAAATTTTGGTTGTTGCAACACTTTCTGTCCTGATTCATATTCTGAAATTAATGAGTTGTTTTTAAGAGAAATACAATATTCTAAAATTTTAGTGTCAATATAAACTTTGACATTAACGTTTTTTATTAGGTATGGTCTAAAACTGGATCATCCAAATGGAGATATGGGTTCCATGGTTTGTAAGACGACTGGAACTTTTATTGGCAAGTGTTGGTCATCTTTCTTCATAATGCTTACAGATGCCTTATTCTATTTCCCTGTTTTGTATTCTCCTAGACATCCCTCCTCTGCCTTTTGAATCAGTTTTTTTTTTTTTTAAGTATTTTCTCTTTTCCTTGGCTTCTTTTCACTTTCATGCCAGCATGTATGAATTAGTCTTTTCTTGTGGTTTATATATAAGGTAAACTTCTTCAGGTTTCTTTTTTTCTTCTTTCTCCCTTCAGCATTCCATGTCTAATTTGGCTGTTTTGCCTGTTGCCTTAATTTTGCTCTGTTCTTTTCTTCTTGACCTACGTCCTCCAGACACATAGATTTTGTGTGTGTGTGTGTGTGTGTGTGTGTGTGTGTGTGTTACAGAGTCTCACTCTGTTACCCAGTCTGGGGTGCAGTGCTGCAATCTCAGCTCACTGCAACCTCAGCCTCCCGTCTTCAAGCAATTATTGTGCCTCAACCTCCCTAGTGGCAGGGATTACAGGCACGCAACACCACGCATGGCTAATTTTTGTATTCTTAGTAGAGATGGGGTTTCGTCATGTTGGCCAGGCTGGTCTCAAACTCCTGATTTCAGGTGATCCTCCCGCCTCAGCCTTCCAAAGTGCTGGGATTACAGGGGTGAGCCAATGCACCTGGCCTTCTTTTAAATCTTGAATGGGCTTCCCTCCCTTCTGTCTCAGGCCCTTTGCAATCTTCCTATCCTAAACATTTCAGATAAAATGTCATGTTCTCAAAAAGGCCTAGGTCATCACCTGTCTTACATTTTCAAAGCTCATTCTACTTTTTTTCTTAACAGCCTTATCACAATTTTTAGTTCTCTGTGTCATTGCTCTTGGCTAACTGTTCCCTCCACTAGACATTGTGTTCTGTTAGAAGAAGGACAAGCTGTGTGCTCACCCTACATCTGCTCTCTCAGCCTCTAGTACAGTGTCTGAACAATTAAATAGCTGTTAAATAAATAAAAGAAATTTCAGGGCAATATGGTTACATATCTGTTCTTTTATTATTCTTCATTCATGATCACATTTTGCTAGGTGTTTCTAGTTATAACTTCAAGACACCTCATTGTGTATAGTTTTATATAGTGGCTGCTTTAAGACAGTTCAATTTTTATTTCTTTGATGATGAATAGAAAATTGGATAAGTACAATTTTGATTTTGTACTTTTTCTCTGCTTTTAAATCAGCTTTGTAATATAGAGTTATTGTTCTTCTGTGATTGGGAATTTGATGGTGTATTTTCATTAATTCCAGGTCATCACAATGTCAGTTTCATCTTAGATAATGATTATGGAAGGTAGGCTATTTTGTAAATAATAATTTTTATAATTTATTCAACTGGGTAAATAAGATAAAATGTATATTTACTTTGTGCCATAGATGCAGAGGTTTAAAAACTTAACTGCTTTATTTCCCCAAATTAATAGTTAAAGAGTCTGTGATTTCTTTTCTCTCATAATTTAGGCTTCATACATAACCTTTCTGTTGTAGGGAAATCTAGCATTAACTAAAATAACATAAAAATCTTCACTTGTGTTATGGAAAAGTATTATTTTATGTACTGCAGCTTTTCTGATTTAACTGTAACTTTTTAAATAACTAAAGCAATTAAATTCAAATTTAAACTAATGGGAGAATAAATAAAACCTCATGGTTAATATTACCTGATAAAGATTTTCTTTTAAGTTATCAAGACATAAGGAGTTATGAAAGATGGTAGTTATATCTTTCAATTGTGCATCTTAACAGCAATATTAGTAACTCATATTTATGACTTTTAATAAAACTAGAACTCATTTCCAGATGTTCTACATTCTAATTTCAGTAAGAAAGATCATCATACTTTTATAGAAATATCAGAGTATGCAAATCTCAATGCATGTTGAAACCCCATATTATAGATAATAATAGTGAACATTTAGCAGCAGGCATGGTGTTAAGCACTTTACATACATTATCGAGTTTAATCCTCCTAAAGAAGCTCCCAAGGATAAATTAAGTGTTATCATCCACCCTATGTTATCCACTGGGAAAGTGAGACTTAGAAACATTAAATAATTTGCCTAGGGATATTCAGCTAGTAGGAAGCAGCATTAGTGTGCAAACTCATGCCATCTAACTCTAGGACCTGAGCATTTTATTCCAGTGCTTTGCCATGACTGATGGAGTGATTCAGCAACCAGTACTATATTTCGTCACTACTTACGATCCTAATCCAGGATTCCATACCATAGCAGGATTTCCCTACTCTTGGGAGCATTTGCAAATGTGTGGAGAATCCCCTGACTGTCACAGTAACTGGGTATGTTAATGGCCTTTAGTGGGCAGTATCATGATGTGCCAAACCCAAATCAATTGTTCTGCCCAAAATGTCACAGTGTTTCCTATTGAGAAAGTGAGTTGACAGAAATCCAAATAAATTGCATTAACACTCAATCCTAATATAGCTATAGTAGATCAATAATAGGAAAGATCTGTTAATTTATTTTTTGTCTCTGAACAATGATCAGAGGTCTGAAAAAATGGCAATATTACAATCAAAGTAGATATTATTCCTAGCAGCACTCACAGACTGAGTGATGAGTGAAGTGAAGTGAAGGATGAGATTTTGTCCCTTCATGTATGGAACTGCAATTGGTTAGTGAACTCAAGTGCACTAGCATTGTATTTAGAGACCATCTACTTCTAGACATCTAGAGGCAATAGGTGTCATTATAACAAAATGATGCCTGACTGGACACTTTATTATAGACCAATATAGGCTAGACCAAAACTAAGAGTAAATCAGAGTGGAAGATATATAAACAATGCTATAATACAACTTTGTGATTTACATGGGACACATGACTTAGGGTCCCATAACTTAACAATTGTTCTCTTCAGGGATGACCTACTTATATACGACTTGATAAGACAGGGCAACAGGATTTTGTTGAACATATTAGAAAACCATATTAGGGACAATAATTATTGAGTTTTAAATGATTTTTTGAACTATACATGATTTTTAAAAATGCTCTTAGTAGCAACCTTCCCAAGGTGAAAGAAAAATGAATTCTTAGTTCTGAGTCTGTATGAAAAGCATTAATTGCCAAATCCATCATATGTCTCTCAGAGAAATAATTATCCAAAAATAGAAGATTTGAGTGATCAAGGTTGAATGTGATTGATAAGTACTCATAAATCAATATGCTGCATTAACATGCCCAGAAACTTTCAATTTAGAAATGCCAGCAAATTCACATATAATAGAAGCAAAAATACTGCATTAAATTGTTGATTCTATGGACTCAATTTATAGTTCTACCCCCTACCCAATTTTAAAGCCAATGCCTGTTCCTTTGTACAAATGCCTTAGAATTGAGGAAATTTGTGTTTCTGTATAAAATATTCTTATGAATTTAAGATAACTGTTAGAAATATGACATTTATGATTTTAAAGCCTAGTTTTAAGATTACATGGTATTTTTTGAATGTTAAATCATTCATTAACTTATAAAGCTGATATTTCACAAATTTCATGAGCATTGTTGAATATCAAATGAACCAATTAAAGGCCTTTCTGTGGCATCTATTCTGTATTTCTTTTAATAGCCAACCTTCTCTTCTCTATTACCCCAAGTTCAAACAACAGCTGTTCCAAACTGATAAGGTTCAGACGACGCTGCCTTAATTGAGAAATGCCTAGTCATTATCAATGAATTAGTGAAAACAACCTCAGTGTCATCCAAAATAAATTACATTCAAATTTTATTTCAGGAGGCAATTTCCCCACTAATTTAAGAAGCAGAGTTAATTTTTGAGATGCAGGATCTGACCAGACATAATATCGTTGGAGCTAGCAAGGTTTCAGATCTTTGGGAAATCAGCCAAAAGGCTTCTGACATAAAAATATGAAATCTAGCATGAACTTCTTAAGTAGCTAATCTAGCATAAAATATTTCCAGAGACTCTTTAGTCTTGCAAATAAACATGGTAATGCCTGGGTTAGATTTGTAGGAGTGTTAATTATTGGTCTCAATGACAAGATTTACATTATTCTTTTAGATTCTAATTCAGTAAAACTATGATAAATAAGATATGAGTCTTAATATTGGAATTTCTTAACTTTTCTAATGGAGAATGTCTTGAACATAATTAAAGTAACAGCATTTAATTTCCAGAATTATTTTCCTTCTTAATTCTTTAGGTTTATAGAAGTATAAGTGCGTATCTATGAATAATAGGCACTGTGTTTATTAAGGACAGTTTTAACCCGGTCAATTATTGCTAATTTGCTGTCATCCACTTGCAGTGTCACACAGATTAGTGGGCGGAGGAGGAGTACTGTGTAATACACAGGTGAGGAGGAGCCACAGCTCTGGACTCAAACTGCCTGGGTCCAGTTCTGTGTCTGCCACTTACTTACTGTGTGATCTTAAGTTAATTCTCTGAAATTCACCTACCTCATGTGGTTGATGTAAAGATCAAACGGCATAATCAATTGAAAGGTCCTAGCGTGATCCCTCATCTTAGAACAAAAAAGAGGTTCTAAAAGAAGACAGACTGGTGTGGTCAGCAGAAGATCCCAGCCTTTATAACGGATAATCCTCCTGTATGCTTTTTTATGTCAATATAATTTCTTAAAATAAACTTTAGGGCCAGGCGCAGGGTCTCACACCTGTAATCCCAGCACTTTGGGAGGCCAAGGAGGACGGATCACGGGGTCAAGGGATAGAGACCATCCTGGCCAACATGGTGAAACCCCAACTCTACTAAAAATAAAAGAAAATTAGCTGGGCGTGGTGGCATGCACATGTAGTCCCAGCTACTTGGGAGGCTGAGGCAGGAGAATCCCTTGAATCCGGGAGGCAGAGGTTGCAATGAGCCGGGATTGCACCACTGCACTCCATCCTGGCAACAGAGCGAGACTCCATCAAAAAAAAAAAAAAAAAAAAAAAAGAAAGAAAAAGAAATCAACTTTATTGAGATATAGATTGCAATTCAGTACCAAATGTATATATGTATGTCACCAACAACCAAATCAGAATAAAGAAAATTCTTATCCTCTTGCAAAAGTTTCATCCTGCTCTTTTGCAGATTATCACATAAGTACTATCACCGAAGTTAAACAAAAAAGTTCCTAAATTAAAGATCATTTAAAGCAGAAACTTTAACCTTTTTTTAACAGGAGTTTTCCACAGAAAATGGCATATTTTGTTTCTTCTCTCAATAAAATTTCAATGTTTCAAACATATGCAGGTATGTGACTTTTCTTTCACTCTGTTGTAGGGGGGAAGACAGTGTATAATTGATTTAACCAAACCAAAGGCAATGAGTGTAAGGTGTATTATATTATTTGATGTACTGCTAGGAAAGGAAAAATGCCTAAGATGGGGAGTCTAACAGAAAGCTCCAACATTAAGCAGGACCTCCCCCACAGCAGACAATACTCTTAGTGTAAGATTGATTGAAAAATAAACTCATTACACTAACACAGACAGCAGGGAAATTTGCATGTTTCAACTTTGGCTATTGGTAGAGGGAGGGAAAAAATCTCCACTGTCAATCTTAACCAAAAACCAGTATAGATGCCTCTCAATTTACAATGGGATAACCCCATCATAAGTTGAAAATATTGTTAAATTGAAAATGCATTTAATACACTGAATGTGTATTAGCTTAGCTTAGCTTTCCTTAAACGTGCTCAGAACACTCACATTGGCTACATCATCTGACAACACAGTGTTCTGCAGGTACAAGTTGTTTACCCTCATCATTGCGTGACTGACTGGGGGCTGCTGCTGGCTGTGCTGCTCAGCATCAGGAGAGCGTATTTACTGCATATCACTAGCCTGGGAAAAGATCAAAATTCAAAATTCTAAGTACTATATGGTTTCTACCAAATTCATTATTTTTGCACCATTGTAAAGTCAAAAAATCTAAAGTTTGACTTTGGTAACTTGGAGACCACTGAAACTGTCTCAGATTTATGCTCTCAGTGTGGTCCAAAAGAATCCTCAAGAAGATCATAATTTAATTTAAAGAGGTCTCAGGTTGATAGTATCCCTTGGAGAGTATCAGAACAAACACAAATCATCCTGAAAGAATTGTACTCCACTCCAGGTCAGGAGTAATGGAAAGATACATTTAGATTTCAAAGATGTTAAAAAAGGTGGGTCTTGGAATCAATCAAATGTGATGTATCTTGGCTTTTCCTAGAAGCTTATTTAGTGTGAAATTCATATGTAACAATACATAGGTATTTGATAGAGTTAAAAAGGATAAATTTTAGTAAGAATCTGCCATATGTCATGTACTGGACTATTTTACAATATACCTACAACTTACATATACAAAGCCACAAGAAGTTCAATCATAGTTAAATGTATTACTAGAAGAGAAAATTATAAGAGGTTGGTCCATGAACATAGGAAAGGTTCATTCTTCAAGAGCGTATGGAAGAAGAGTGGTTCTACCTGCCTTCCTGTTCAGCTCAGGTTTTCCTTACTTCTTTAATGCTCGTATTATGAATGTTGCTTTAATACCAGTCACCACCAAAGCCTGCTCCTCATGGAATATAAGTCTCCATCAATGCCATGTTTATTGTCTTTTTTGCAGGATTGCATCAGAGAAAGTAATGAAACACCTAATTTATGCAGTTGGTAACAAAGGTGCTATGGCTAGGTAATTTGGAAGTTTTAAAAAATCAGGCATTTGCATTTATGTGTAATATTTATGGTATTTTATTTAATGTGCTTTTACCCCAGAGGTCACTATGATTTTTCCTTCACAAGGAAGCATTCGAGGTGGCACCATGCTGACAATAAGTGGACAGTTCTTTGATCAGACAGATTTCCCCATCAGAGTTCTAGTTGGAGGTATTTCTCATGTTTTTTTGATATATTACCTTTTTACCACTAATTCTGCCTGTTCTTTAATAATTCATAATACTAATAATAGTTTTTTCTCAACTCATGCCTTCAATTGGAATCTGAGTATTTTCACACAGTTATTTGGTTCTGGGGTTTGATACTCTTTCCATTGCAATTTTCCAGCAAGGGCCACTCCCTGAAATCTCATGTGAATAGCACCTGAGCTCTAGGGTTGGCACCAACAGGCTTTGTGTAGCAGCATTGCAGCTGCCATCCATGAATTCCTCGCCACAGTTTAAGGACACACCTACCCTTAATTTAGAAGCTCTTAAGTGCCCTTTTTGAATGGTTGTTATTTCTCAACGAGTTAGCTAATTGTGAGGAAATTTAAAGTAATATTTTGGGTTGTTCTCCTCATATTCTTCTCATATACTGTGCCTCATCTGGACATCAGTAATCACTGATGATATTGGCCTTGAAAAGAGCAGTAATTTCAATGAGTTGTCTATTTACAAATGCATGTAGGACTTGGTTCTGTGGCTATGCTTCACTTTTATGTGTCCTGTCCAGATCTGTTCAGAGGCAGGCAGCTATGCAGCTCAAAAGGAGTGAATGTGATCTTGGGAATCTTCCCATTCAGCCATAATGACATCACTTTTATTGCTAGTCAGGGGACAGGATGCCTGCCCATGGAACAAGGCATATGCATTTCTACGGTCCTCTTGCTCAAGTACTTTCTACCTTTTACAGAATCTGCCTGCAAGCCAGCCAAAATGTGATTTCAGAAAAAAGAGAAATGGATATTAAGCAACCTCACATAATATTTATACACTCTTCTTTCGTGTCTGCATGAATCCTTGCTGGTCATTGGCATACATATTAAAACCTGGGCCATAAATATTTAAAATTCATATATGTATTAATCTGACCAGATTTTATGTTTTAAACATTAAAACCCAGGCCATAATGCACTTTTAATTTATATAATATGTTTTATAATCTGATCTTATGTTTATTTTGCATACGACTATGATGCTGTTGATATGAAAAGAGAACATGTTAGTTTTCTATCATCCTTCATTACCATTAATATGGCAACCAGATTCCAGATTTTGAATACCCAATAATCTATTGAAAATGTGATGTTTATGTGCCTTTCCTTTGCTTCCAATAAAATGGGTGATTGGTTTAATATACTGTTCCTATTTACTGTTTTCTGGTTCAAATTTCTTGCATCCATAAAACATTCAAAATAATGAAAGGGGCTGGGTGCAGTGGCTCATGCCTGTAATACTAGCAGTTTGGCAGGCTGAGGCAGGAAGATTACTTGAACCCAGGAGTTTGATACCTGACTAGACAACGCAGGGTGACCTGTCTTTATGAAAAAAAAAAAAAAAAAAAAGGCTGGCATAGTGGTGCATGCCTGTAGTTACAGCTACTAGAGAGGCTGAGATGGAGGACTGCTTGAGCCCAGGAGGTGGAGGCTGCAGTGAGCTATGATCATGCAACTGCACTCCAACCTGGGTGACAGAGCAAGACCCTGCCTCAAAAAACACACAAACAAATAAAATAGTGAAAAGTAATGTCAAAATTGAAATTTTCCAGGCTATCAAACAAAACTTGGCAAAAATATCTCTCTCCATTTCCGTTGTCCTCACATTTCATGGGCTGCAATTGCCATTTCAGTGAGTACTTTCTGAGGCTGACCATATGTGAGGCATTGTGAGGAACACATGGAGGTTAAAACATAGACTCTTCTCGCAAGTCTAATTGTGCTGATGTAAAAGTTATAATAGCTATCTTTGAAGCCTTTTTCCTGTTTTAGTTTCAGTTTATCTGTGAAAATGCCATTTAACAGTTATTACCCCCCTTTTTTTTTCATTTGAAGAACTTGGACTAAACCAGCATTTTTCCTACTCAAGAGGTCTGGGGTCATCTACCTTTGCAAATGCTGAATGACACAGGTTTATTCAGCAGCTTATCTCCAAGGAACAAAATAGAAGTTTTTACTTTGGATTCGGAAGTGATGTCTTGTGCAAAGACATAGTATTATCAAATTTTTAATCTCAGAAATTATGAAATTTTCTATCTCAGGCTTGTGATGTTCCACCAGAAAAAATGTTGTTTGTGGAAGTATGACAATTATTGCACGAAAAGCTTTAATGGAGAATATGTAAAGGAAATAAAGAGCCCCAATTTGCCTCTTGTTTATGCAACTTTGTTTTAATTGCAAAAGTGCTTAAAGATACACTGATGTGATTGCATTCTGAAGTTTCAGTAGTAACGGTTTTGTATCTTGCTTCTCTATAGGTGAACCTTGTGATACTTTGAATGTCACGGAAAAGAGTATATGTTGCAAGACACCCCCCAAACCTCATATTCTCAAAGCTGTATATCCAGGTAAGTTACCATCAGGGAAAATGGCCATTTCTATATTTACATAAAAATAATATATTAGTAAAAATATTATTTAAACTTTTTGGAGTTTAGAATTTGTAGGAAGAATTGTAAGAAATTTCCTCCAAGTTTTAAAATTTACATTTTCTGGATTAGAAAATATTTCTATTAAAATCACTGCCACAAAGCTGCACCTGTGGAGAAAAACCCAGCCTAAATTATCAAGACACCCTACTGAAAACAGCACATCTCTACTGACAGAGCTTAATTATGCTTTTATTTCTAATTAAATTATGATAACTAACACTTGGTACAGTCTACATAGAAATTTTTTAAATGCTTTTTTCTGATTAATAAAGATAAATAGGGGAAGTTAAATATTCACTTGTCTAGAAAAATGTGGGAGTGAAAACAGGAGATGAGAGAAATGTTACTCCAAATTCTTTTCAGACTTTCACCTTGTGACCCAGTGAAATTGCTTTCCTATCTACACTAATAACATTGAAATGCTGTACACGTGTCTGCGTGTGGTGTGTGTCTCATATCTTGCTTGCACAGTGAAAGTTGTTTATAATCGTGTCATTGTTTCACATTTGAAACCAATTAAATGGTTTACCAGCCTCTTACATTTCTTTGGTTTGAATATTAGGAAAAATTGAGCAGTTTAAGAAAATAATTTTGATAATTTATAATTGATGACTTTAAAGAAAATTGTATACATCGCTAAACCCTGCTGCTGTAAAAGTTTGAAGTGCTTAAGCTTGTCTTCAACCAAATTCAGCTGAAGAAGAGCAGCCATTATTTTCCATGTACAGACAAGCTTAAGGCTGTTAAAGAAAGAAATAAGCCTAATTGTTGTTGCAGTTGAAGGAAAAGAAAAAGAGAGATGCCTCCTTTCTGATTAGGAAAAAAAACTTAATCACAGGGTTTATTCTGGCAAGTATAGGTACAGTTTATTGAGAGTATCCTGTTTTTGATTCTGTCCAAGAAGGAGAAGAAATCCTAGAGTAGAAGTATTTTTTTTTTAAAAAAGTAAAATAAATATTGAGAGAAATATGAAAGCCAACATTTTCTCTTCTTTGATTAATGGCTTTGTAAGCCATTAATTTACTTTTGTTAGAATAGTCAAGGCAAAGGTTTTGTATTAAAATGGCATGAATCTTGAAGTTTTGCAACATCAGCTATATCATATGTAGAAATTACTATATATTATCTTACATAAAGCACTTTTTGAATGCCAGATGTTTTACATATGTATTATACATAATTCCTTTAGCAGCTATGCAAATATTATTATTACTCCCATTTTACACATGTGGAAACTGAGGCTCAAATAAGTGAAGTAATAGTGAACAAATTGCAGGCTGCCCCCTGGCTACAGGTAAGTGTAGGGGAATATGTAATTGTTTTGTTTTCACACATGCTAAAAATATGAATTGATATACAGAGTCTATAACCCACACCCAAATAGAAAGCCACTGAGACATTGCATTATGATCCTGATGAAAGACTTATTTTATTTCATCACACTTAGGAGGGAGAGGCCTGAAGCTTGAGGTATGGAATAATAGTCGTCCAATACATCTGGAAGAGATACTGGAATACGATGAAAAAACCCCCGGGTACATGGGTGCCAGTTGGGTAGATTCAGCTTCCTATATTTGGCCTATGGAACAAGACACATTTGTTGCACGCTTTAGTGGATTTTTGGTGGCTCCAGATTCTGATGTTTATAGATTCTACATCAAAGGTGATGACCGTTATGCTATTTATTTTAGCCAGACTGGACTTCCAGAAGATAAGGTAGGGTAACCTCAGAATACTATTTGATACTATAAAAACATTATGATGATGTTTATATGTATCTTACTTACTTTAAATCAAAACAAATGAATGTATTAAAAATATATGAGAAATGATGTCATGTGGTTTGGCTCTTGGCTATTATCCTGGATATGATACAAGATATAAGATGATAGAAAACCTATAGCCTACAAGAAAATTTCCCATACCTGAAAATGGGGATTTCATTATTCTACATTTACTTGGTCATGAGATAAAAGTTATTTCACTATTTTGTTTTTTTCATAAATAGAATTATACATTCAATTTCGTATGTAGTTTTTCACATACTAGTATTAAATACTAATTTTATTAAACAATTTATATAATCACTATTTTTAATGACTAAGTACTGTTATTACATGGGTTTACCAAGCTTAGATAACCATCTCCCTACTGATAAGTTTTTATTTACTTCTGGTATTTTATGACCACAAATAATACTACTCTATTGAACATCTAGGTTCATTAAACTTTTCTGTATTTGGGATTATTTTGTTAGGACAATTTCACAAATATGAAACTAACAGATCAAATCAATTTAACCTTTTATGACTCGACTTATGTGGCAAGATTGCTTCCCAGACTGGTTGTGTAAGTTTAAATTGCTACCTGTAATTTATGAATTCTAATTTTTATCATCGTTGGTACTGAAAAGCATGTGTTCTCCAAAGACGGTATAATCATTCATAATGGGAAGCCCAGAGTCCTCTCACTCTAGTGTGCAGAACCATTTAGCAATCTTTGGCAATCTAATTTGGATTAAATCTCTCAAAGTTCTCCACAGAGCAAAAGAATATTTTATTTGTCAATAACTGCCTTTCTCCTGGTATGTATCTTCTTAGTTTCCACTGCGGTTCTAGTTATGGAAAAGCTATGATCTGTGTAGCATACTCGGTACAGTACCGTTGATGTTACTGAAGGGTAGAAGGAATGAAGTGAGCTTTGATAATTTTAAAAAAAGTATAGCATAGTAGATAACAGATCTTAAAAGAAAAATATAAAGTAGTTTTACATTTTTCTACTTATGAAATTTCTAAAACTGAAATAATAAATGATAAATAAATAAGTAAATGTTGAAAAGGTCTATTAATAAATTCTCCATCTCTCTGGGATTAGGTGAGGATTGCACATCATTCTGCTAATGCCAACAGTTATTTTTCCAGTCCAACACAAAGATCAGAGGATATTCATCTGCAGAAAGGAAAAGAGTAAGGTTTTTCCTTGTCGTTAAATTACTGTGTGGTATTTACAAACTTTACGTTTATATTTTTAAATATATATATACACACACACACACACATACACACATACACACACACACACACACACACATATATATATACATATATATATATATTTTTTTTTTTTGGGACGGAGTCTCCCTCTGTCACCCAGGCTGGAGTGCTGTGGCCTGATCTCGGCTCACTGGAAGCTCCGCCTCCCGGGTTCATGCCATTCTCCTGCCTCAGCCTCCTGAGTAGCTGGGACCACAGGCGCCCGCCACCGCGCCTGGCTAATTTTTTTGTACTTTTAGTAGAGACGGGGGTTTCACCGTGTTAGCTAGGATGGTCTCAATCTCCTGACCTTGTGATCCGCCCACCTTGGCCTCCCAAAGTGCTGGGATTACAGGCGTGAGCCACCGCACCTGGCCTATATTTTTAAATATTTTCAATTTATTTTTATTGGTGGAAGTGGATATTAGTTTATTGGCTTACTTTATAATTGGTCATTCACCATAATTTTATTCAAATGTGTTTCTTTATTTTCAAGAATACTGGCATTCAGCTAACCAGGGAAATTTGAAGTCTAGAATAACCCTGTTGCAAACTTACACTTTTGTGAAATTACTTGATCCTCTTCTTAGTTCTTTACTTGGACCTCTCAATCAATCCACCCATCTAACTTCTCTGTTCCTGCAGCTGAGCTCTTCAGTATTGCTAGGGAAAAATCACTAAGCCACATAGATTGTTACTACTGTTAATGTGTATTTGTTATTAACTGGTTTATTCCAGGCCCTGAGCCAGGTACTGGAAATTTGAGAATATTAAAATACACTGCCAGAACTGACAGAGCATATCGCTTAGTGTTGAAAGGTCAAGTCCAAGGAGCCAATGAGTGGGATTATCATCCAAATACCAGATAATCCCATTCAAAAAGCCATTCAGAATTCCTAGGAAACAGGAAGATAAAAGACATGATACATTCAAAATGGAGAAGGTGGTGGAATGGAGTTAACATGAAGAACATCAAAAGATGCACTGAGATCATATTCATCATTTGGATCTATTAGACTTTACTGTATAACAAAGCACTTCAGACTGTAGCAACTTCAAACAACAAGTGTGTATTATTTTTCACAATTTTATAGTTGGCTGAGCTGTTCTTTTAGTCCTGACTAGTTTAGTTGGGGATTGGTAACCTAGAATGCCTCGCTCACATGTCTGGAGCCTCAGCAGGCATGGTTGAGTCTTAGGTATCTGGGGCATCCAATCGCACGTGGTCTCTCATCATCCAGGAGACAAGCCCAAGTTTCTCACATTGTGGATGTGATCCCAGCAGTAAAGAGGGGAGTCCTAATGCACACACACTCTGCAATACTCTGTCTGTGTCACATTGGCTGATATCCCATTGCCCAAAGCAAGTGACCAAGCCTAGACTCAAGGATGCAGAAATAGACTTCCCTTCTTGATCGGAGGAATGCTTTTTTCTTTATAAATTTACCTCATCACCCTTTCAGATATTGATGAAGTTATGCTCAGAGGCAGCATCATGAGGATCCTATGGAACTGGACAGGGAGGGTTGGGATCAACGGAACCTGGGACCAAATTAATGTTCTCACACTGAATGTTCTCGCTGAGGTCTTGGTAATACTGACATGGGGAAAAAGCTTTATTCCTTTTTTCCTCCTTCTTCTGCTTTCACTTCCTTATATATTAAACATTTTCTTCCATAACCATGAAAACTACTGGGCCAGGTCAGGATAAATGGAGTGCCTGATTAATCCCTACTGCAATTAAGTGTCAGTACATTTTCAGACTTTGGCTTGTTCTTGGAAAATGAGTTCAGTCTACCAGCTTGGCAGGAGCACAGAGTTTGAGTGAAAGCAACTCCTAATACATCTGCTGCCTGGTGTCTGTGCTCCTGCAAAACCAGCTTGGAATTTACATATTGTGCTTACAATGATTGCTGTGAAATCTGAAATTGAGGCCACTCTAGCTGGTTTATTATAAAGTGGTTTTTCAAGCCTTTCCAAAGGTAGCTCATATTGCTAAATCATTCTACTCAAATACCACAAATATAGTTTCCTCTAGTGCATAGCTTTTTGGTCACCTTATTCTGTTTGGAATTCTCCCTCAGTTACTAGTTTAAAAAATTTTTGAATCCTTAAAATTCCATTAGCATTTGTTATTCATATGGAGAAAGGAATAATATCTGTTTTATGAAACTTTTGTGACGATTAAATATAATAACGTCTGCAAAGTGCTTAGTTTATTGTCTAGCACAAAGAAAGTACCTAATTAATAGTTTTGAGCCATGAGTAAGGATGCAAAATTTTAATGGTTCTTCTTTGAATTCTGCTCTTTAATTAGTGTTGATCATCTCAAGTCAGCAGAACTGATGAGCAGGTTCTTACGGAAGTCAAGAGCCTGATATAATCCCCAAATATCAGTTCCATCAGGCGATGATCCAGAACCCCATCATTCTGCACATATGAAACATGATAAATTTCCCTCATTCAGTCTCTTTCATGAACTGTGGATACTGATTCTCCCTATATAAGAATGTATGTTGAGTGATGTGAGACAGTTTAGGGAAGCTCCCAGCTGTCCTCTCCAAAGATGTGAGCGATGGTGACATTGCTAGAGATTTAGAGGAGAAGCAGTAGTTTTGCACTCTCCTGTAACAGCTGCTCAGTGAAGGCATTACCTTGGGTACCCAGCAGGATGAGGGGCAGGAGACATCAAGAATCAGGAATTCAAAATATAAAGTGAAAATCCCATCCAGCTAGTTGGAGGTCCATAGTAAATCTGACCAGTAAAAGTTTCCTGAGGCAATATTTTATTCCCCAAGTTACAAATGGAGCCAGATTTAAGGAACATGAAAGTAGGAACCTTTATTCCTGACAAATATAACCCCTCAGGTATAAAGTATATGCTATGTCTAAGCCTGACATTTTCTTGAAAACATTACAATATTTAACCTCTGCATGTTGTCTCTGCTATATGCCAGGGACAGGGTTATTTTTCAGGATCTTGAGTATAGGAACTAGTATTGCCTTCAATAAATATTTATTGACTAAGCTGAATGAATTGGTTATGAATGAGAACAACTTTCTACTAATGCAGATACCTTACATAATTCATTTTATTTTAGCAAACTGCTATGAAAATTTTAACATTTGAATATTTAAAATATGAGATACTACAATATAAGTTATTTAACAGGCAGGCTTTTAAAATATTGTTGATATTTTATTCATTAAAATAATTTCATGGCAAGTGTTGTGGAAAAAAGTTACATTCATTAGTTACTCTATTTTCCAGATATTATATTGAAATCTTGCTGCAGGAGTACACATTAAGTGCATTTGTTGATGTCGGACTGTACCAGTATCAAAATGTTTATACTGAACAACAAACAGGAGATGCAGTGAATGAAGAACAAGTTATCAAATCCCAGTCGACAATCATCCAGGAAGTACAGGTTTGCTATGATTATAGTTCCACTTACAGAAAGTAAATGTCCGAAGGCAGGATCTTAATTTGGTTATTAATTTTACTAGGTAAGATACTGTTTTAGGTGAAAGTCGTCATGGACAATTATTGAATTATGACTTTGAGTATCTGTATTATAAGCCAAAAAGGCTGTTACTTGTCATTTGTAGTAAAATAGAGCAATAAAGTAACATTGAATAGCTGAGTTATGATGCTTTTAAAGTATATATAATTTTCATATATTAAAAATATTTTTTAATTGGAAAATAGGTTATAACATTAGAAAACTGGGAAACAACTAACGCAATTAATGAAGTTCAGAAGATCAAGGTAACCAGCCCCTGTGTGGAAGCTAATTCATGTTCACCTTACCAATACAGATTAATCTATAATATGGAAAAAACTGGTAAGTTATAAATAATAAGGGAGATACTGTTTCTGTTCATGCATAGATGTAGCCATAAAGTATTTGCTCCAGTCAAATCATACTGTCTAGAAAATATAGTTTTGATGATAGGCTAGACAAAGAAGCAGAAAAATATATTATGGCAAAAAGCCTTCAGACTGGAATAGAAAACAACATCCATGCAAATAACTTTCTGGCATATACCATCATTTTCTAACAATAATGATAACTATATATCTAAATGCACATGGAATTTACATATCTGTTACTCACAAGTGTAAGTTAAGAAAATGGGAATTGTGAATAGTTAACCCAAATGCCCATCAATGATAGACTGGATAAAGAAAATGTGGTACACCATAGAATACTGTGCAGCCATAAAAAGGAACAAGATCATGTCCTTTTCAGGGACATGGATGGAGCTTAAAGCCATTTCCTCAGCAAACTAACTCAGGAACAGACAACCAAACACTACATGTTCTCACTTATGAGTGGGAGCTGAACAATGAGAACACGTGGACACAGGGAGGGGAACAACACACAGTGGGGCCTGTTGCGGGGTGGGGTCGGTGCCGGGAGGGCATTAGGTTAGTTCATGCTGGGCTTAATACCTAGCTAATTCATGCTGGGCTTAATACCTAGGTGATGATAGGTTGATAGGTGCAGCAAATCACCATGATCTACGTTTACATATGTAACAAACCTGCACATCCTGCACATTTACCCCAAAACTTAAAATAAAAATAAAAATTTTTAAAGGAATTAAATTCATCATTGCACAGAAGTAAACATGTCTTTCAATTTTTTAAATTAAATGATAGGCGTATGGAACACCAACTTTTATCAGCTAAAACACAAAAACAACATTGCATTTCTTTTTTTGTTTTTTTT